GGACACGGACCCCTCCATCACCCCCTCAGTATGCGGACACGGACCCCTCCATCACCCCCTCAGTATGCGGACACGGACCCCTCCATCACCCCCTCAGTGTGCAGACACCCCCCTCCATCACCCCCTCAGTATGTTGAATAATCTCCCCTCCCCTCGACAGTGAGCCCAGCTTACCGGAGTCTCGGGACAGAAGCTGTGAAGTTGCTGCTGGCCTCTGGGATATGGAACTGATGATGCTGAGGATATCCACTTTTGCCCAGACTCAGCCTCAGCCTTGAGACGCTGTGTTGTCAGAGGAAAGAGAGTGCTGTGGTTAGGCTTGGGGAGGTGGAGGAGAGGAAGCCCAAATATGGGCGAACTGTCTGTGTGTGAGGATGGAGGCTGGAGGCTTCTCTGGGATTTCTCTGCACAGTGGCAAGGGAGAGTTGCTGGAGACTCATTCTGATGAGAGGCTGCTGGCTGCTGATACTGGTCCAGGTTCAGATGTTTGGGTGGGCCTCTGCGAAACAATTCCTCTTTCCTCTTCTCATCTTCCATGGCTTTCTGCACAGCCCCAGGATCGTAGGCAGAGGAGTTCAGATGGGCTGGAAAGGCAGTTTGAGGCTGGTGAGTGGGCTCTGTGCTGGGGGCCCAGGCTACCCGCCGTGTGGGCTGTAGAAAAGGGATGGAGCCAGGTATCTTGTTACAGAACGGAGGGGGGGGCCTCAGCTCATACCGAGGCTGTAGTTGTAGCAGTGGGAGAGAGGCTGCCGAATGGAGTCCAGCAGAAAACTGAAAGACTGTTTCAGGAGGCTGAGCCCTGGGAGGCAGCAGGAGGGGAGTTCGGACAGAACTGTAACCTCTGAGTGGCACACTCTGGGAGGCCGTGATCACTGGCTGGCTCGGCACATCACCTTCCTGTGGATGGAGCGACACCGCCTCTGGCTTCTAAGTTACAAAGGCCAACATCAGATTACATTTCAAGCACATAACAGTTCTCAATGCATCAAAGATGATCTCTGAAATCATGATTTCAATTCAATGCAAATATACTGAAGCAAGATCTTTTTTGCTGTCAGGATTCAGGGATACCCCAAACTGATCTTACATAAAGAGACAATAAGTGGGAGAAAACGCCCTCGACCGTGTCTCTCGCATTTCCTGCAACTCATCCCTCACACCCCGTCCCCGCAATAATAACCAAAACAGAATCCCCCTCATCCTCATGTACCACCCCACCAACCTCCGGATTCAACGCATCATCCTCTGACACTTCTGCCATTTGCAATCCGATCCCACTACCAAAGACATTTTTCCCTCCCCACCCTTATCTGCTTTCCGGAGGGACCACTCTCTCCGTGACTCCCTTGTCCGCTCCACACTCCCCACCAGCCCCACAACCCCCGGCACTTTTCCCTGCAACCGCAGAAAGTGCTAAACTTGCCCCTACACCTCCCCCCTCACCCCCATCCCAGGCCCCAAGAAAACCTTCCACATCAAGCAGATGTTCACCTGCACATCCACTAATGTGGTATACTGTATCCGCTGTTCCCGTTGTGGCCTCCGCTACATCGGGGAAACCAAGCGGAGGCTTGGGGAACGCTTTGCGGTACACCTACGCTCGGTTCACACCAAACAACTGCACCTCCCAGTCGCGAACCATTTCAACTCCCCCTCCCACTCCTTGGACGACATGTCCATCCTGGGCCTCCTGCAGTGCCACAACGATGCCACCCGAAGGTTGCAGGAACAGCACCTCATATTTCGCTTGGGAACCCTGCAGCCCAATGGTATCAATGGGCACTTCACAAGCTTCAAAATCTCCCCTCCCCCGACAGCATCCCAAAACCAGCTCAGCTCGTACCTGCCTCCCTAACCTGTCCTCCCACCTATCCCCTCCTCCCAGCTCAAGGCCCACACCCATCTCCTACCTACTAGCCTCATCCCGCTCCTTGACCTGTCCGTC